ACTGCACAGCTGACATGGTCGTGAAACACGGCGTCATGCAAAGGTGTCCATCCGTATTCGTCCTTGACATTCACGTTTGCTCCGAGATCGATCAGTAACTGAAGACATTCATAGCTTCCCTCGATGGCAGCGCGATGGAGAGGAGTCAGGCCGTTACACCCGACTCGATTAAAGTCAACTTTTCGTGATTTTATCAGATGACACGTCTCAACGAAGTCGTCGTTTTTTATTGCGATGTCTAGCAGAATATCGGCTGGAAACGTCACGCTCTTGTAGATGCGGTTTCTTAAAACGGAACGCGGAAATGTGCCTGTTTGCGTTCGCGTAATATTCCATGTTGACGAGCGTTTGACTGTCCTCTTTGGAGGTGGTTCCGAAATGGCGCGACTTCGCGGCATGAAAGGAGAGCGTTTTAAGGCAGCAAACTCTTGTTTGGTAAGCGCCGTTGTTGCACGCCTGGTAAGATGCGTCGTTGACTCATCATCGACTGACATGAATCCACTTGAAATGGACTCGTCTGTTTGCACAGACTCCATTGAAATACTATCAGGAGACTTGTCCATCTCGCAAAAGCCCGATTCGGCTTCGCTGAACCTGCTACAGTCGGACACGTTGGATAGGCTTGATAGCCTTGAATCAGGCTCTCTAAATCCCAAAAGATTAGCAATGGGTCGCTTGCCTAATAGCTGAGAGAATGGAATGGACTTTTTCCGAGTTGATTTTATGTCTAATTGTTTGGCGACTTTTTGTCTGGCCTTTTCCGTTAACTCTTCAAACTGTAAACGTTCTTTTGCAAGTTGAGCTTTTCCCGTGCGTGCCATCATTTGTACAAGGAGTAAAGTCATTTCCTCATCATGACTACAGTCTAAAGGAATTTTACCGCGCGCTGACTTGCAACAAATGTCCGCACCTCGCTGAAACAGGAGCTCCGCTAATAGTTTATCCCCTATTTTCGACGCAATATGTAATGGTGTTCTACCTTGTTTATCTTTAGCGTTCACATTCACTCCCTTCTCCAGCAATATTGACACTAAAATTAAATTGCCTTCTTCGCATGCTCGGTGCAGAGCAAACATCTTCAAACAATTGATATCAATGCCCGTAGTTAGCACCTTGGTTTTCTTTGCAATGATCTTCCNATTCCATGTTGACGAGCGTTTGACTGTCCTCTTTGGAGGTGGTTCCGAGATGGCGCGACTTCGCGGCATGAAAGGAGAGCGTTTTAAGGCAGCAAACTCTTGTTTGGTAAGCGCCGTTGTTGCACGCCTGGTAAGATGCGTCGTTGACTCATCATCGACTGACATGAATCCACTTGAAATGGACTCGTCTGTTTGCACAGACTCCATTGAAATACTATCAGGAGACTTGTCCATCTCGCAAAAGCCCGATTCGGCTTCGCTGAACCTGCTACAGTCGGACACGTTGGATAGGCTTGATAGCCTTGAATCAGGCTCTCTAAATCCCAAAAGATTAGCAATGGGTCGCTTGCCTAATAACTGAGAGAATGGAATGGACTTTTTCCGACTTGATTTTATGTCTAATTGTTTGGCGACTTTTTGTCTGGCCTTTTCCGTTAACTCTTCAAACTGTAAACGTTCTTTTGCAAGTTGAGCTTTTCCCGTGCGTGCCATCATTTGTACAAGGAGTAAAGTCATTTCCTCATCATGACTACAGTCTAAAGGAATTTTACCGCGCGCTGACTTGCAACAAATGTCCGCACCTCGCTGAAACAGGAGCTCCGCTAATAGTTTATCCCCTATTTTCGACGCAATATGTAATGGTGTTCTACCTTGTTTATCTTTAGCGTTCACATTCACTCCCTTCTCCAGCAATATTGACACTAAAATTAAATTGCCTTCTTCGCATGCTCGGTGCAGAGCAAACATCTTCAAACAATTGATATCAATGCCCGTAGTTAGCACCTTGGTTTTCTTTGCAATGATCTTCCTATGACGACAACAAGCTTAAGTCCGGCAATGTCGTCACGACCGGTACGCCAAGGGCAACTTGAACTATCAGCGCTGCCGTTTCCTAAGCAAAATTGAGCAGGTGTGACAAATCTCCTGTCGAGGACATGTTATATAACTGTACAGCTAGAGACGATTTTGTTTCGCAAACAAATACCTACAGAATTTCGGTTCCTGTGACTACATTGTTATGGTACTGACGTAAATCCCTTGGGTTAACTTTAATCGCTTATTCACTATAAAACTTTCCTGATGACTTAAGACGTTTGTGATTTATGTGAAAAGGCCTTTGATCACGGAACGTTTGTACTTTTCATTTGTGTAACTACCAAAAACATCATCCTCTTTGATTGTGTTTCATTTTCTTAAAGACATTTAATGTAAGTATGTGCGAATTTAGGTAAATAAATTGATTACGTCTCTGTTTCATTTGTTGTTTTTTTTGTTCAGTAACAAAAAGCCTTTCCTAAAGATTTTTTCTGGTCTCATTCAAAACTAACGTAAGATTTATATTCGTAGAGGATGAAAAAAGCCTATCACATCTTTCTCAAGAATTGCGGAAGATCATGAGAAAATTGCATGCGTTTTTAAGTCTCTCAACCTAGTAAATGCAAAATCATTGTAAACTTTTTAAAAGGTGACTTTTGTTCTTACACTCGCTAATCTATTGTTAGCTCTTGTTTTAACACGCCGACGCTGCTTTTGAAAAGAGTCAAGCCTTTGGTTCCTTCTCTCTTTGAACCTTACCGCCTTTAAAAGCTGAACAATTGAATGGACATTCATGACTTATCTCTAATGAATCCCTATAGAAACTGAATTCCTTTCTTCCTTTTCAAAAACATCAATTTTCTCTACGATAAGTACCATTTCCTTTCTACCATCGGCAAAACTCTTTATAAAGAGTTCTTGGTCCGTACATTATTTTTCCAAGACCTTCTATTCACTATCGGAAAGTTTAAGAGATCAGCAAAAAGCTTCTCTTAGCTGCTATACCATTAAAAGGCTGGCTCCGCCCATCAGAGTGACAGGCATAGGCAATGACAACTGTGTCATACAAAATACATACATTAAATTCAATTTATGCCCTGTCGTTGCTGACCTTGCTCTCCACCATCCTTACACATAGATTAGATAGGGACGAAAAAGAAACCATACATTTTTCAAAAGAGCAGGAGACGTAAACCCCATTTTCATGGTATATCAGTGATTGGATTTTTATTGGTTCCTGGTAATCTGGGTCCTTCGTCATTGGTCCGGATCAACGGGCGAGGTGAGAGGATAAATGGACTAAAATGGAATGAAAATACGCCTTTACATGCTGACGTCCGATTTTATCCTTCTGGTTCCCCCGCTATTCATACTGGCTTGCTGCAGGAGAGGAAAACTGCCACACTTTTTTTTCTACATATACGTTGTATTCTGTCAGTGATAGCAAAGTAGATAGTTTATCAGGATATAACTCCGTACAGTGAAGTCAGTCTTGAGCCATTTCTGAGTCGGTCCAAGCCTCTGTTTCAAAGCGAGACTAAGTGCGCAGCCATTGATATGAAAATCATTTTCTATTCTCATGCAAATAAAATTCATTTTCACATAAAAGGTTTTGCACTTAGCCTCGTTTTGAAAGTGAAAGTTTTTGGAACTCGGAAATGGTCTATTGATGGAAGGAGAAATTTGATTCTTGTCACCAGGTCACTAGCTCTTGTTGTTATGTCCATGTATATGTCTTTATTTTGCGAGTATAAGTCACGTGTTATTTCTAGCATCATTTTTGTTTTTGTTTATTTGTTATTTGACTTCATTAGATTTTATACAGAAATTAAAAAAGGAAAAGGAAATGTTAACTCTCTTGTTCCAGTTAAAAACTTTCGTCATTTCGTCATTTCAAAAGTTTAATACGTTTGCGGAAGTTTTTGAGATTCGTTCTAAACTGAGTCACCATTAAACTAACGTTTCTTTATCGTAATTGCAATTTTTGGAATTTCCACCACTATTCATTGACATTGCCCTTCCGATGACTAAAATCATCTCATCGTCTTCGGCCATTTCAATTGGTTTGAGAAAATCACTTGTCTCGGCCTCTACGTCAGCGCCCGAGATAATAAGAAAAACGGCACAGCGGGTATGCCCATGAAACACCGTATCGTGAAGCGGAGTCCAGCCTCTATTATCAGTGACGTCGACTTCAGCGCCGCGCGAGAGAAGAAAATTGAGGCAGCGGTAGCTTCCATCTATTGCTGCGCGGTGAAGCAAAGTGTTTCCAAATTCATCCGGGAGATTGAGGTCCGGGTTTTCACAGTCAATCAAGTTGCTTAGCTCCTCAACATCGTCTTGTGATATCGCCGAACACAAGAGAGAGTGACTAGAAAAGGATACTGTTCGAGAACGGCGTTTCCAAACCGAGGATTCTTGATTATTATTTTCCTCGTGGCTGTTGCATTTAAGCGCTTCTGATGATTGTTCTCTTAAAAATGAAAATAGTGGGTGCCCTGTCGCCTTTAAAAGCTGTGAGTCTGATTGATCTGTGAGGGAAGAAAATACCAAAGAGTCACTCCCGCTTCGAAATCTCCAAACGGCTAAGTCCCTATTAGTTTTCTCTGCTTCTCTAGGAATTTCTTCTTGATACGTATCTAACGTAGAGTAAAAAGATGACGTCTTGAGACTCGGAAAACCAAGGTTATTTTCATTTCCAGTCTCCAAGTGATCTTTATCCTCGAATTCGCTTGCTTCGCTTTCGTCAGTCTTGATCCGCACCACAGAGAACATAGGGTCACTAATGCTTCTTCCCCGCGGAAGAACAGACGACGCTAAAGAAGACGTGCTTTCATTATTTTCACTGAAGCTCCTTGAATGAAGGTTTAGGCTCACTCTTTTAACTTTGATATGGCCGCGCTCAATGCTCATGATAAACTCAGAATAAACTACAAAAGGAAGTTCTTGCTAATTAGTTTAGCATTCACCTAAGCCTTTTAAACAACCTATTCATCGGGAATGGAAGGAGCTATAACCATGCGTAAAAGTGTAGTTTTTCGAATGATTTCAGTCGTCCCTTGAAGATTCGTTTTACCAGGCCAAACCTAGGTAGGAATGACACAAGCATATTTTTTTAGAAGGATAACGGTTTGTTATAAGCCGTACCAGACAACGGATTTGAGTCAAATTAATAAACGTATATGTAAACTTAGAGCTGCTGATGATCGAAATGTATTGTTCCTCTAATTATACGCTTCTACTCAGTGGCGAAATACAAGTCACATTTTATTCATGAAGGACTTAGTAAATGTCCAAATTGCAAATTACACATAGTTTAGGCGAATGATACTAATGAACGATACTTGGCATCCTGTTAGTACAATTGTTCACTTTAAAAGTCTTTTCGCAGCTGTCTTCATTTTCAGAGGTATTTATCGTCTGATAATCAAAGAGTTGCTCTATTTTCATAGATTTTTTTGGAGCATTGCTTACCAATTATTTGCTCAACAAGCACATATCACTTTCTGTGTGGTCGTTCGTTAAGCAGACGTCAAACAAGAGCTAGTCACTTCAATCAATTGACTAAACCTCGATGGCTTGAGAAAAGAAAATTAATTGTACCCCCCGTCAATATTGTGAAAGATTGGTTCTGTAATAATCTCCCTGTTCAATCAAATTGACCATTTGTTTTATTGATGAATAGGAATGCGCTTGATTAGAACTGACACTTCTAAAGAGTCCATGGGAAATCAAATCACGTACCGTCCTCTTCTGTCTCGGTAGTTTCTCGAAAGAGCGCCGCCAACGAATTAGCTCTAGTCTATGGAGGCTATTGTTTTTTTTTAATGGTTTTCTGGACATCATTAACACATCAAGGACTATCAGTGCTAAGTATTGTCATTTTTTTTAGTCTGGAAGGGGTCACCGTTTTTTTTTACTTCTTTCTCGTATTAAAAAAAGAAATTATATGATAATTATTCAATCAATCAATTAATCAGTTTATTTAAAACAGCAATTTAATAATTTCACACCGCATTACACATTGATACCCAGCAACTTTATCATTTTTGCCGACTGGGGCAGGAAACAAGGAAACTGGAAACGATCCCGCAAATTCAGCCCCAGTGCTCTCTCATTCAGCCTGGTAGAAACAGTCGTTCGAGTTTTCGTTTACAGATTCGATACAGCTGTTGCTGTGTTGTTTTCTGGGGTTAAAAGCTATGAACGAAGACGAAGGAATTGATTTTCGGAGACTAGAAAGGGAGCTAGCCTTAGCTGTTGAAGCGGATGCGAAGTATGATCGCGAAAATAGTGCAAAATTCCGTGCTGTCGAGCAGCGTGTTGGGAGTTACGAGGAATTTCGGGATATTGTCAGTGCTGCACATTTGAAGCCTTTGGAGCGAAAAGATATAACAGGTTCGCTAAAACTTATTTAATGAAATTCGCCACCAATATGTTTAGAATAAGGAATCTTATAAATCTAAATTTTGATGGTAATTTCGGGCTGAAGCACCTTTATTAAGGTCTAATACATGACCAGCCCCCCCCTTTACACATCTACTACAAAGGTAAACCACTTAATGTTATAATTATTAAGACTTGTTGAAATCCATAAAGAAGGTTCATTAGGGAGTTTTATAAGAGTTTGTTTTTGCTTTTACAGGGGAACAGACCCGTAAACAACCCTGGAATCCACATGCTCAAGGAAATTCACAGACAACACCTGTTCATTCTGATTTATCTCTGCCTACTACTATGAAAACACCCCATAGTGCTCATGAATTTTCAAAAGTATGGAGGCGTCAATGCAAGACAGAAAAGGAAAAATATGACCTCTTATTGAAAATTGGTGGCCAGGAACTTGGGAGAATTTTTAAGGCAGAGATAAGCATGGGATTTTTGGGAGAGTTTCTCTCAAGTTTGCTAAACTATTTAAACGTTAATGATGCAAAGGCAGTTTGTGATATTCTCTTGCAATTGTCAAAAACAAACAGGTTTGATCTTTCTCTGAAATTCCTTGGTGAGGAGGAAAGAAAGATCACTTCAGAACTTATTAAAAGACTGGAAGAGGTTAATTTGGAAGATGACAGTGGAAACAAAGGCAAAGTGACAAGGAATGTTGATATTTTACAGGAACTTAGAAAAATTTACGGCATCCCTGCTGAGATAGCAAGCTGAAAGCATCTTGTGTAATTGAAGTGGGCTGTAACAGCATAACAGGAGTAGATTGCACACAAACAAAATACTTAATGTTTTTAGTATTAGTAGTAGTGTTGAAGTAAACAAGTTTATTTCATGGTCCCAGTTTTTGTTCTGAAGGGTCCTGAAGTATTTTGCGTGGATCAGGGTCGGCCAGGTTTTTGGGTAAATCGGGTATACGGTATATTGCAGCTTAAATACGGGTATTCGGTATATCACTTTCTTTGAATTTCAGGTATAAAGTATACCTGGGTATAATTTTGGGTATATTTGGATGAATTTTGGGTATTTTGGCGCATTTTTTTCGGGTATACTGGTATACCACTACCCCCCCTGGCCGACCCTGATGGATGCTTTTAGCAGTCACTGTCACATGACCTCAGAGCAGTTATGTGTTCTGTACACAATTAACTTATGCAGGCTCTGTGATCCAGCCAAAATATTTCCTTTCATAACCAGTCTCCTTTACTAACTATGATGCATCCAAATAAGATATTTTTACTCTAGGTTGGAAAGAGTTTAAATTGTACAAATAGTTCATTCCCACCAGCAATTTACAGTTGAACCTTCCACAATAATTATTGTATAACCAATCAATACAGGAACAATTTGTCTTAAGAATTTCACTTTTAAGGCCTGGATAGTCTTGGAATTTAATTACCAGTATCAGTGATGGCAAGACATGGAAAATTATTCAATGTAGATTTCAAAGCTAGGACAAAATGACAAAATATATTGAAGATCAGTTACAAAACAGCTTGAAGGTCTGCATTTTAGCAAGCTATACCATTGTGTCTGTTGAATTTTGTTACCTAAAAATACCCTAAAACAAGTATAGTTTTGAAAATTTTCAAAAGTGACAGCTATACTTAAGGTCATGGAAAAGTGAAAAATGACAGAAAGAAAGTCCTGGAATTACAAAAGCTGTAAAGAGTACAAAAGTTGTGGAAGTATGAGAAAGATGTTTCCACTGCCCAAAAATGCAAGCAAAAGTACAGTACCACTCAGTATTTAATAGCTATTTATTTTTATTTCTTGCTCAGTACAGACTAGCACATACAGTCGAACCTCCAATAACGACCACCTCTCCATAACCGCCACTTTTTTGTGGACAGTCCATACATTCATTTGTTTAACCCTTTAAATCCCAATAGTGACCAAGATCAATATTCTCCTAACAATGTCCATACATTGTCAACAGATAAGTTATGAGAATTATTAATAAAATGATCACCCAAGTAAAAATGCCTTGATCTTTTATCAAATTCTCTCAACTCATTCTTTAAGGAAATGTATGGAGATCAGTTTGGAGAATTTGTATGTGGATACTGGGGCTTGAAGGGTTAAACCTCTGTACTACGGCTACTTTCTTCTGTCCCCAAGGTGGCTGTTGTGGAGACTTTAAACTGAACTAAGGCTATTACTGCCCTTTGGTGCTACTCTGCTTATTATCAAAGCTTTAAAACAAGACTCTACTGTACATTTCTGATGACCAGCACAGCCAACCAAAAACTGTAATTCTACCCTTGTTTTTTAAATTTTTTCATTCTCTAAGAGTTCTATGGTGGTTTAACAGCTCACTGCATACTACATATGAAACACCACAGTGACACTAAGCTCTCACTACAAAAAAACATGTACAACAAAACTAACATTACATTTACCCTTTAAATTATCATCTTTTCACCAAGCATTTCCTACTTACAACCTAAATTGCATTATTTGTTTTCTTACTATAAAGTATACTAAAACAGTTTTATTTTATATCATGATGCACAATTCATGACAAGTTTCTTGACAAATAGTTTGCCAAAGATTTAAAACAACCCTTGCCCCTTAAATCACTTGATAAAGCTAACAATTTTATTGTCAGTCAGGAAAGTATGATAAGGGTGACTTATTGATGGGCTGATACTACCAGAGGCACTTAAGTCAGGCACCCTGAAATATGCGTTCTTGATGCTCTCATGACTATTCCAAGCATCCCATTTAGTCTTGTGACATTCCCTCCCTTTAAGCAGGCATAGAACAGAACTGAGAAATGTACAATGCTGCAATACACCTGGAATATTATTAGCACTTCATAATAAGGTGTTTTCAAAATGACAGAGGAGCAAAAACCTTGTAAATCTGTTAAATGATTATCAATTCTGGCCTGAGATGAGATTGCAAATTACATGGTCTTTCTAAGAAGAATTTGAGATGACTTAACACAATAGCAAATTGTCTTTAGGTCTATCTGGAGAGAGTTTCAAAGCTGTACTGTCCCATTAAGAAATATCACTTCATAAATTAACAATATAATACTATTATTATTAATTACAAGTACATTCCATTGATTAGATAATCTGCATCATCAGTAGCAAATGCTCGTCTCTTCAATTTGCTCTTTACAATTCTGAGTCTCAGAGCAACAGCGAAGAGAAGCAGAATGGCTAATATGAGGAAAATAGCAAGTGGAAGCACAGCCTTGTTCTCGATAATCTTTAGATGTTGTGTTTCTATGACAACAACATC